TTTTACAAAATTCCATAAAACCAGAGCTTCTGGATAAATTAAAAGAAAATGTTCGATATCAATCAAGCATGATAAAGTTGAAGCAGAACTAGATTCTGAACCAAAAAGAAGATGTTAGATATCAATCAAGCATATGATAAAGTTGAAGCACAACTAGATTATGAACCAAACAAGACAACAATCAAGCATGATAAAGTTGAAGCACAACAACATTCTGAACCAAACAAGACAACTACGGACAGTAAACTACGAACAGAAACGATTTTGATCTATAAAAATTTAATTTAACTACGGACAGAAACAATTTTGATCTATAAAAATTTAATTTAACGACCAAAAAAAAAGACAGTAAACTATATATGTAAAACAACATGTTAATGTAACTGAGCTTTAAAATGAAGAGTGACATTGCATAATCATGGAAAAAGCTAAAATTTATTTATTCCAACACAACGAGGGAGAAATGTACCTTGCCCCCAAACATCACGTATTACATTGAAAACCATATAATAAGCCGACATTTATTTTACGTATAGGCGAACAATATCCGTTTAAGACATTGCTTCACGGGTTTTGCTGTAACAACTTGCGAAATAGGAAACACCACAAATATCCAATTCGAAAAGCTATAGCTTTACATGTTCCCATCAAACGAGTCAATCTCTTTCATCACATCACATTCCATCAACAGTGGAATATCGAAAGGCAACACAACATCGCAACATTTGTGTTCGTCAATTTCAGATGGCCCACCGATACGTATATCTTCCATCAACGACTCCATGTTATTATCTCTGAACAGGTGATAGTCGTTAAAAGTGAACTCACTGACATCAGCAAAGCCGTATTCTGACACTGTTTGGTCATTTGGCTGAAACTCCATTTCTGATTTCTTACCAACTGAAGTGCTGTTGTTGAGGATTTCAGGGTCGACGGTTTTCGGAGTTCGGGTAATTTTCGATAAGCTACTGCTTTTCTTCTCAAAGTTGAGACTCTTGATATAGTTCTGAAGAAGGGAACTAGGCTTAGGCCATTTGGTCCGGCAACTTCGCCTTGAGAATTGCCTTCTTTTTGTAGCATTCCAGTGGTTTTTTATGGAGTTCTCTGTTCTTCCAGGGAGACTTTTCGCAATTTCGGCCCATTTGTTCCCGACTTGTGCATGAATCTCAATCAGGATTCTGTCTTCATCCTCAGTCCATAAATCCTTCTGGGATGAAAAGAGATTTTTGTATAAATAAAATAGGCAACAGAAAAAGAAAAGGCAAAACTTTATATTGTATCGGGTTTTTTAAGTCTTAATCCTGAATATCCAGATACAATAAATCAGAAAAGAGAATCTCATTTCTTAGTTGTATATTGCACTTGAAGCTCTACTTATGTAATAGTATTAAGATAAAGTTGATTCATCAAACTCAGCATACTAGTACACAAATGCTAAATAGAGAAATAAATAAATTCACGCATGACTCGTGTTAATTCTATAAAATAACTTGGTTCCAAAAAATCCCGCAACACAAAACTTGAGGCTGCATGCATCGTCCCATTCATGCCAGATGTTCCATATCTTCGAAATATAGGATCAGATCAACATACTGAGTTAATGATATTTGTTGAAACCATATTTTTATGCTTTAAAACGTGTGGAAACTATATTTTAGTTCTTGAAACCAAAAACTATCATTCTTCCCTCTAATGATATATTTACAAAAAAGAAAGAAAGAACAAACAAAAAACAAAATTCCGACATTCCACGAACAAAAAAAGATTGTAACATTTGATATTCAAAATTACTAATTCAGAAAAATTCAAAGCTAAACCTTAATATCAGGTCTCAGGTGGTTATGCCATCTCTCTCTGCACTGTTTGCCTATCCTTCCCTTCAGCATTTGTGCAATAGTAGACCATTTTCTCTCACCATATTTTCCCACCAGATGAGTCAAGAGTCTGCAATTAATTAATATACACTTCCAGTTAATATCTCAAGCAT